GAAACTGTATTTTTCTAAATTTGTTTTTTCCACTGAATTTTAATTGCCTTTTTATGTTTTTGTTTGTAATTTTTTGTCTGTTTTTTTAAGGTTCACGTGAGAACCTTTTAGATAGTAATCCTCAGGCTTTTGTATTTGTCTTCTGAATTTTTTTTTTTTTTGTATTTTGTACTGATTTTGCCTGAAAATAAATAATATAAAATAATGAAAAATAAAATCTCCATAATGTATCTGATAACGCTGATATTCTCTCTTTCATCTAAAATTTAGAACCGGGACTGTTGTTTGGAAACCGCAACAAGCAAATCAAAGAAGAAGTATTGTTATCGTAAGTTTTGACGTCCACATAGTTACGAAACAATGGATTAGACTCTACTCTTAGTAACACTTCTCTACTGGTTATCAGTTCCCATCCCTCTCAGTGGTGGATTTAGAGGGAGCTGTAAATGTTATAGGGGGATTCTCCCTTGCATCCCTGTAAGAGGTTCTACCCTGATCCTCTCATTTAGTTTGCACATTCACACCCCCCCCCCCTCTTTCTTACCGGACTAGATCCACCCCTGCCTGTCAGTCTTATGAGCAGTTCAGTTATCGCTCTGTAATAAGAATGAGAAAATTTACCCGACCATTTTTAAGAGGGGGGAACCATGATTTTTTAAGAACTTAAAAGTCATTAAAAGACACTTCAGAACAAGCACCTCGGGGGGGGCTCCCCCCCCCCCCCCCGTTCCTTTTTTTTTTTTTTTTTTTTTTTTTTTTTTTTTTTTTTTTTTTTTTCTTTTTTGCACATTTTGACACCCCCTCCCCCACCCACAAATTTGAACCCAGATATCCGCCCCTGGTTCAATTATGATTGTATTATCCTATCTTTTTGCCTGTACACTACACCTTCCATAGGAACTCCTTTATGCAATGTACTCCAAAAAAACAGTACACAGAAATAATACTACTGTATGCCTACCTTTTATTACGTGTAACATGAACAATTACTTAAACGCATTTAGGCTGGTTTTCGGCAAAAAAGCTTAAAACTTCAATCAAAACACACTTTTGATACAACACTAGGTGACCTGATCAGTGCATAAGCATTGTTATCGTCCAAGGCCCAGCAACATAAAATCAAAACAAAAATTGGAAAGAACATGAACAATCAATAAAGGCTATTGAAATTTAAAATGTAAAATGTAAGGAGGAGATTTCGCAAGTGTACCGTATGCTTGCCAGCAAAAATCCGCTTCTTCTGTTATAATGTGCTCCATATCTAAATCTAAAAGTCATTGTTCAAGAGCATATTTTAAAATAGCTTAATAAAATTGTCGAGTAATCAATTCTTATTATTTTGCCTAACAGCATTTTTATTATGTATATATATATTATTTGAATACAAATTAAGAAGTTATTTAATGCAGTTCAAATTGAGTTAAAGAAGGAGCACTCTTCAAGCTCTTCAGTATCAGTGAGAGTTCTTGTGACAGCAGGACGTGCAAAGCATATTAACACCGCGTGTTCAGAAGGCAATCCATCACCAACCCTTCATGTTGTGGATTCTGAAAATGTGGTAGTTTCATGTGATGGAGTCCTACCAAGCCATAATGTGACAGTTACCGTATCTGCGTCATATCTTGAACAATTCGCTACCGCCTCGATGATCATAAAAACAAGTAAGAAATCTCATTTTTACACGACTTTGATATAATGATGATGGTAATGGCGATGTTTATCATCATCATGATGAGGAGCTAAGCGGTTGGCTGAGAGGTATTTTTCCTGCTTCGCTGAAGACCCCGGTTCAAGCCCTGCCAGCGTCGGGTTTTAATTGGAGTCTGATCGAATTGAATAACCCTCATTGAGATTTAGGCGGGCGAAGGACAATTGTATCCGTTTATATTCGTTATAAAATCGGTACAGGCTTTCCTCTTAGGTTTCGGAATGTGTTTGTTAGTTGAACGGATGGAAATGATTTGTATTAATGCAAAAAAAAAA